GCCTGTGTTGCCATGTTGTGCAAGGAGGCTGGTGAAGGCTAGCGGGGCAGATTTGCATCTCTTTAGCAGGACAAGCTCCTGGGGTTCCATTCTGCCAGTAGCTCTTTCAAATCAAGTTCAGGATGTTAATAGCCAATGCATCTATAATTAACAGGCCTTTGGATGGGAGGAAGAGTTCACATCCATCCTCCATTCACAAAATAAAGACACTGAGTAAGACTGGCAGGTTCCCCCCAGCAGAAGAGGAAACCTCAGGGACCGGCCCCTGTGGAAGGTGGAAAGCTCCCTTTCCTGAGCTGGGGGGTGTGGGCCATGGAAGTGAAATGAGGAAGGATAAGGATATAAAAATACCCAGACATCAACTTCCAAGTGTTGAGAAAGAGCCAGATATCTGAGCCTTGGCAGGTGGCCCTTTCTCTAGATCAAAGCCGTGTCCTCTGGATGCTGTGTGCTTAGGTCGTGAGTGTGCTGCTGACTCAAGCACAGCAGCATAGGCTATCCCAGCGTTTCACCGCGTCTGGGCTCTTAGCATCTGTGCTTGAAATGGGAGCCAGGAGATTCGAGGTCCAAACCCACCTCTGAGTAGCATAGGCTGTGTGTGTTCTTGGGCAAGTTGCTTTCCCTCTCTTGGCCTCAGTCTCCTCACCTGTAAAACAAGGCTTATGGACCAAGCGATTCCCACTATCCCTTCTAGCTCTGGCACAATGAGTTGTCCCTCTATCATTAGGAGTGGGCATGTGGCCAGTTCTAGGCCATGCATTAGCAGAGTAGGTGGCCACCCAGCTGGTGTGATTCTTAGAGGTCCAGAAGTGCTTCTACCTCTCGGACTACATTCCCACCGTTCCTCACTCCTTCAAGTTAAGAACCCTACCACAGGCAAGAAAATTCTCAGGGAGTCAGAGCTGAAGGGCCCTTAGAGATGTCTCAGCCAGTGGTTCCCAGCCAGACACATGCAAAGGCTGCAGCAGGTAGCCAAGAGCAGTTTTGAATATTTCACAAAGCCTACAGGCAACCTTCCATTACCTGTGATAAAGCTGACTAAAACACGGAGGTTTTGTTTTGTTTTTGCTTTTAATTAGAATTAAATTAACTCTATGTGATATCCCAGGTTAGTGTTCACTGATCAGAAGCTGATTGGTTGTAGGTGACATCATGGGAATTTCTAGGTCATGGTTGGTGGACAAGATGCTGCCACCAGAGTCACATGACATGTGGTGGTTACTGGCCAAATTGTACCTGTTCAATATGTAACTAGCCTTAAATACCACAGAATGACAGCAGTGTCTTTTGAATTGAGAGGGCTTTGTAGAGGAAGGATGCTAACAAGGGTTCTTAATGATGAAAAGCTGAGGAGACTGATTGATTTCAACAGCCACATGTAACTGATAAGAAAACCAACGCCTGTCTATTACCTAGCATGAATATGAGTCTGTCAGAAGAGAAGACTGTTTTCTAGCAGTAAGATGTATAGGAATTCTGGATGGACAGCTTGGAGAACAGCTTCAGTAAAAGGCCATAGGGTACTCCTGGCTGAAGGAGTGGGCAGAGGTACTAGGCTATGTGAAGCATGTGAGATGTCATTTGCAAACTCCCCAGCTTCATCTCTGATCTGAGCTCACAATCCTGGGCTCTCATCCTGTCCTTTTTCCAGGAATGTGAAAAGATCGACAGATATGAATGCAGGGCTGGGCCGGGCCAAGTGCTGGGCTGGGATAAGGGGGTGGGTAAGACAGTCCCTGCAGCCAGTCCCCTGAGGAGCACCAGCCTGTAAGTCCCAGCTCTGCCGCATGGGCCCACTCTGACTTTCAGTCTCCTCCTCATGAAGATGATGGCTTTGATCATCTCTAAGATCCTATTCAGCTCAGAAGATCCTGTCTTCCTGAGTGGATGCGCTAGCGGCCAACAGGGTAATTTTCTGGTTGTACTTCTTGTGACCCTCAGCCTGGCCAGGGAGGGTTTGGGCAGGAGGTGGTGGGGTGTGGAATGGAACCATAGACCAGGATCTGGCCCGGCTTTCCCTTACGGAGGCCTAGAGTCAGAGTGGTAGCATAGGACCCATCCTTAGAACAGACAATATTCAGCTTCCTGTGTATGATGGGAGCCACAGGACCCCAGCCCACCGGGGCCCCTTACTCATTTGTTCAACATAAGTGAGTACCTCCACTCTGTGGCAGGTTCTGAGCTAGAGATACTAGGCAATCCAAACAGATAAGACCCCTGTTCTCATGAAGCCTCTAGTCTAACTGGGGAGACAGTAAATAAACATGCAGGCATGAGTATGAATGCGGGCACTGCCTGGGAGTTGCCGAGGATAGAGACAAGTTTCAGGCTCCAGTGCGCCCCTGAAACCCACGATCAGGGCTGGCTCAGAGTTGGCCCTCACTCAGCAAACATTTGTTGAATTGCCTGGAGTGAGAGAGAAAGCATATGGAAAGTGCCCAGTCCTTCTGGTTCTGTCCACAGTAGAAGCCAGCATGTACACGCAAACATCTCATTTCAATTAAACAACATTTATTGAGAGCCCATTATATACCAGCAGGGTCCAAGCCCTGAGAATCTGGATGTGAATAAAATCAGATCCCCATATCCACCCAGGGTGAAGACAGGCAAGTGAGCCCACCAGGACCCCCAGTGTGCTAGGATGATAATGGCTGTGTGTATGCCCAATTCCCACCAGCTTTGGGCTGGGGGGCTGAAGAGGAAACATGCTAGGAGGGAAGGACAGGAAGGAGTCACAAATTTATACCCACATCCACACAGATGGATAAACAGGTAGCCCCAGAGATAAACACACTGAGCCCTTTCACAGGTGTGTCTGCTGACTACCTAAGCATGTACAGGCATAGATACTGACCCCTGCAGACTCAGATGCCACACCTGCTAGTGGTGTCCCAAACCAGGAAGATATGTGGGTGAGAAAATATTCTGTGTTTTGGGAGGGTTGGCACCAGGTCACCCTGAGTATCATCAGACCTTGGCCAGGGGCCGCTCTGAGGCAAGAAGTTAGGCTATTACTGGCTTGCTCTGCATGTCAGTCACCAGAGATGGCCAATCAACTGCACACCCTGACTCTCAGATCGGAGGCCAGAAGGTAGGGAATCTGACAGAAAGTTTAACTGTTAGTCCCTATGCTTGTTGAAGAGTTTGAACCAGGTCGGGATCAGGACAGTTAGGCGGAGGAGGGGACATGCTCGTAGTTAGCTGTACTGGGCTCACATTCCTTCAGGACAGAACTATGCACTTTGGAAACTGCCCGCTTCCCCATTTGGACTTTACTTTTTTTCCATTAGGAGCTAACAAATAGGAAGCTGTTCGGAACAGCTCCTGGCACATAGTAGCCCCTCAGTGAGTAGTCATTCCATCCCCCAAGACCATGTCCTTGGTGAGTGGTGGTTCCAGCCTGTTCATCTATGATGAGGGGAGTCAGGGAGCCAGACTGGAGGAAGTGGCAGAAAGGTGAGTCACCTCTCCTGTGCCTGCCCCTTTGTTCTTTAAGAGATGGATCTGTTCTTCAGAGATGCCTTCTTCTAAAACCTTGAAGGGTTTGTATATTCTTTTCCTAAGAATACACTATTTCTTTGCAGTAATAATAGCTTTTATAGTGCTTTCTACTTGCCAGGCATTCCTCTGTCTACTTCACATATGATAACTAATTTAATCCTCCTAATAATCCTATCAAGTAGGGATGTTATTATTCCCATTCCACAGATGGAGTAACCAAATCCCTGAGTAATTCAGTAAATTGTACAAAGTCACACAGTAGGTTGGCACCAGGGCCCGTTCTCTAACCACTGGGCTCTGCTCTGACTCTGGAAGGAAGGTCTGGTTCTTTCTCCTTCACCCTCACTAATACACCATGGGGCCCTAGATAAGCCACTGCCCTTTCTGAGTCTCTCTTTCCTTCTCTGGGAAGCAGAAAGTCCTCTTAAGCCTGGTGGTCTCCCAGGCTGCTGTAAGACCAAGGTGACTGTCCATGTCCCTGCATGGGCTGCGGTAGGAGACTATGGGACCCAGATGCAGCATTCTGGGGAGTAGGTATTTCAAGCTGAGTGCTCTGCATCTTGCCCCCTAGAGCAGGGCCAGGGTGGAGTGTCCTCTTTGAGCCCCACCGGCAGACTCACAGCTGGGCATACAGGCCCCTTGAGGCCTCCTGGGAGGACCGGGATTAGGGACATGAATGAAGGCACCAGGACAGAAAACGCTCTCAATGTAAACTCATGCAGAGAAAATCATAAACTGTGCATGTAATTTGCACCTGGGCCAAGGCCTGCAGAGCTTAAATATATTCTTATGGGCTATTTATAGTCTGGAGAAATTAGCATTGTCTGAGTATGGGAGCACTGGCAGACTCCAGCTGGTCAGGGCCTGCCAGGGACTGGCAGAAGAAAGAGTGGGAGCCGTGGAACCTTCTGGTGCAGGACTCTGCACTTCTCAGTCTCTCCTCACTGACACAGCCAGTGCAGGTGAGACAGGAGGAGAAAAGGGCTGGAGAGGAGCCTCCCTTCGTCAAGGTCGCATAACCTTGGGTTTCTCTGTAGAATATAGTCAAAGTATTCCTTTCTGGAGGGTTTAGGGGAGAATCAGTTTCCTGCTCATTTGGCAGAATTCAGTTACTAAAGTTGTAAGATCGAGGTCCCCCTTTTTTTGATGGCTGTAAAATGAGGGTCAGTCCGAGCTTCTAGATGCTGCTGCATTCCTTGACTTGTGGTCAACACCTCCATCTTCAAAGTCAAGGCAGGCAGGTAGAGGACTTCTCAAGGCTACTTTTTTGGTTCTTTTAAGGATTCATATGATTAGATTGGGTCCACCTGGATAATCCAAGATTCTCCATCTCAAGGTCCTTAATCATTTCTGCATAGTCCCTTTTGCCGTGTAGGGTAGCATATTCATAGGTTCCAGGAACATCTTGGGTAGAGGGAAGGTGGAGGTCATTATTCTGCCTACCACAGCCACCTAGCATGGGGCAACCTTGGTCAAAAATTTACCTTCTCTTTTTGCAGGGAGAAGTCTGTGCAGTTCCCTGTGCGGCAGGCACCTATGGCCCCAACTGCTCATCTGTCTGTAGCTGTAACAATGGTGGCACCTGCTCCCCAATAGATGGCTCCTGCACCTGCAAAGAAGGTAGTGTACCTTCTTTCCCAGTCCCGTCCCCTCAGATATGCACACTGCCCAGGGGAACTA